ACCAGACTGCCCAGGTTCAAATCCCAGCTCTGCCACTTGCTGCCATGTGACTGCAAGCCCAGTTCCTTCTCTTCTTCTGCCCGGTACCTGAGCTTTGCAGGTCCCTTGCTGAAATGACAAACGCACCCACTCTGTCCCTAGGATGCGTTCATAACCCTGTCTTTTCCCCCGTTCTCTGAGAGGCCGGATCAGATGTGGAAACAGCTGCGCCGCCCGAGGCCTTGCAGAACTAGAGGCCACTCCACTTTTCTCCCTCACCACGGAGGGCCCTCAGAACACAGAGGTCAGCATGATCTCTGAGCCCTGCCACAGCTGGGACAGCCACTGACCCAGCTCAGCAGCGGCGGTGGCAGCAGCAGGAGGACTGGCTCGTTTAAGAATATTAGGCTTCCAGGATGCCTGGGTGGCTCAGTTGGTTAAGCCACTGCCTTCAGCTCAGGTCATGATCCTGGAGTTCTGGGATCAAGTCCCACATCAGGCTCCCAGCTCTTTGAGGAGTCTGCTTCTCCCTTCTCATGCTCTCTCCCCCTCTCTCAAATAAATAAATAAAATCCTAAAGAAAAAAAAAAAAGAATATTAGGCTTCCTCCAAGCCTGGGTGGCTCAGTGAGTTAAGCGTCTGCCTTCAGCTCAGGTCATGATCCCAGGGTCCTGGGTCCCAGCCCTGCATCAGGCCCTCTCGTCGGCAGGGAGCCTGCTTCCCGCCCCCACCCCCTCTCTGACTACTGTGATCTCTGTCAAATAAAGAAATAAAATCTTAAAAAAAAAAAAAAAAAAAAAAGAATATTAGGCTTCCCTGCTCTTGGACGTAGTGTAGCCCAGGGGTTAGCAATGTGAGCTCCAGGACCAGGCGGCTTCAGTTCACACGGTGGCTCTTCTAATTAATGACAATTTACTCAGCTCTTTTGTCCCTGGGCTTCCTTCTCCAGGGGCTGCTGGGGTCGTGACTCTGATTGGGCCCCTGTGAAATTAGAACAACGCCCCAGCCGGCGTACGCGACCAGAAAGTGCCGGCTAGTGTCAGTCCATCCCAGCGTGTGCCGGCCGAGCCGGGCTGAAGGCGGGCAAGAGCGCAGTCCCCATCTCCGGGTACTCTCCCGCAGGGTGTCGGGGACCGGGGTGGGCGTGGGGCGGCCCTGCAGATCCCGCGGCTCGGCAGGCACGCGTCTCCGTGGGGGAGGAAGTTTGTAACCCACGCGCTGGCTGTCCTCGCCCGCCCCGCATTCCTGGGATCCCCGAACCCACCCCACCGCCCCGGCCGCTTCCCCACCACGAAGATTCCCAGCCCAGCCCCCAGCGGGACGCGGGCGTGCAGAGCGGGTCCCGGCGCGTGGGCGCATAGGCCGGGCCCCCACCGCCACGCCGCGGCCTCGCGGGCAGGGAGGCGCCGCGCGGTCCCGGAGCGGCCGGGGCGGGCGGAGAGCCGCGGGCCGAGGCCGCGTGGGCCGCGCGCACTCACCTCCGCGCGATCCGGTACAGCAGCACGCCGGCCGCGGCGCACGCCGTGACCCCCAGGCCGCCGGCCAGGCCCGCCGTGGGGCAGCGGGCCAGCAGCGCGCTCATTCCCTCCATGGTTCCCCGCGCGGGTAGCGGGCGGCGGGCGGCGGGCGACGGGCCACGGGGCTGGGGGCCCAGGGCCGCAGGCGGGACACGGGACGCAGGACGGCGGCGCGCGCCTGCTTGCGCCGTGACCTTCGCCGCTTTGTAGCCGGCGCGGGCCCGCCCCCTGACTCGGCGCGCTCCCGCCGCGCAGCCAATCGGGGCTCGGGGCGAGCCCGGGGGGCGGGGCGCCGGCGGAAGCGGCTGCACCGGGCCGCGCGCGCCCTCGCGCGGCGGGAGGTGGGAGGCGGCGCGGCGCCGGGTCCCCCGCCCTCCTCCGTGCCCGCCGCGGGCTGCGAAGTCCGGCTGCCTTAGCGCCTCGGGACGCTGGGGGTGAGTAGTCTCGCGCTAGTCCGCTCTGCCCAGCGCTGGCCAAGCCCGGCTCCTGCTCGAACAGCTGTTTTTCTGCAAGTTGCAGCGCTTTTAAGCTACTCCATTCAACAAAAAATTAGTTACTGGAAACATGAACGTCCGTCCAGAGGGGCGAGGTCGAATGAATCTCAGGTCGGCTCTACCTCCGAACTTCGGAAAGCGAGGCGGGAGGACACGGCTCAAATAAAGGGAACGTGCACATTGATTTTGGGAATAACGAAGTTTGAATGAAGACACTGCTAGCACGTGCGTGCTTGCCGAAGTCGAGGACTGTTAACGCTGAGCCCCGGTTCCACAGGGGCGTGGATTCAGGGACGATTCACTTTGTGCCAGTTTCATTCATGGCTTGAGCTAAATTACTTTCATAACTAAAAAGAAGAAAACCAAAAACCCAGCTGGCTGTAAATATTCGTATCCGTACACGACACGTGTCTCGGTGTCCACGCTTTTCCAGTGTTTCTGAGGTCAGGACTGGAGTTCTGCCTGTGGCGGACGGCGCCGACGTGGGGTTGTTTGGCAGCAAATGTTCCCGTTGTTTCCGGTTAACAATTCATAGTCCCCCACCTTACTAGGAGCTGCAGAGAGGGCAAGGAGTAGGGCACAGCACCCAGGCGCTGGCCAGAGGGGCTGCTATTTCTTCCACGTGGGTCAGAGCCAAGGCCTTGCTTTGGCCGAGCGGGGGCTCTCACCACAAATGAACAAATAGCAGTGAAACCTCCCTTAGAATGTGGCACGGTTCTTTGCGTACATTTTCCTTCCAAGGAAGATTCAAAGACTGTGTGATGTCCCACTCACAGGGTGGACAAAGAGCGACGCAACCACCGTGTCCTGGGTGTTAGCAGTACAATCGCACCTTCACCGGTGGTAGTGCCTGTGGGCTCATTACCCTTCGGTGAATGGAACAGTTTGCTGGACCTCAGCTTTGGTCAGACCATTCCACAGGCTCAGATGCCCCCTCTAACTTATGTTCATCTACCCAAGCGCTGCAAACCCACGACCAGCCACTTTACAACTTACCATCTCTCTCAGACCTCAAGCAAGTCATTAAACCTCTGGTCTCTCTATTTGTAAAATGTGGATCATGGTAACACCTGCCTCATGAGGTTGTGGCAAAAATAACCGACATGAGAAAATACAGAACATCTTATACAGAGCTTGGCACCCAGTGGTAAGCAATGAGAGCTTTTCCAAGTCTTATATATACGGGGACTTAAAAATAATGAAATCCCAATGACTGAGCTTATGCACAAGAGAAACAGTGTGGCTGGGTGATGGACACTGGGGAGGGTATGTGCTATGGTGAGTGCTGTGAACAGTATAAGACTGACACAGACCTGTACCCCTGAAACAAATTATACATTGTATGTTAATAATAATAAAAAGAAAATCATGGGACCTCACCATGGACAGCTCAAACAGTGACAATTCCCATTTGAAATATGACAAGCCCCTTTAGAATTTCCTGCTTTTCTTCCTACTTCTGGCACTCCCCTTTCTCATTTCAATGTCCTGGTACAGGAGAAGCAATCAGAGAGCAAAATGATCCTATGTCCGCATCAAATTTATTAATTCAAGAATGTAGAAATGAAAATTATTTTCAAATAATTCTCACTCCAAATTCGAGAGTATTAAGCAACCTAATTTTTAAACCTTCAGATCTTGAGGAAAAATTCAGGTTTTAATATGAATACTAAAATAGGAAGATGTTGCTAACAGTTATCCTATCAAACAGTTAAATTGAGCTCCTGGAAGAGCAATGCCTTGGCTGCCATGTGGTTTACAGGCACTGATGCTTGACTAACATGATTTATTTGGACTTCTACACAGCTGTGGACAGTTGAAGCAAATTTTGCCAGTGAGTTCAAGCACAGCAACTAACCTTCATGCCTAAAGGTGAGCAAAATTAAACTCCATTTTAAATACAATTTGAAAATATCCTACTCTTATCCCCACCAGTGCTTCTGAATCTGACACTACAATGCATCAGTTACTAGAATCCAGTATCTTTCTAGATGTTCAGACTGAAAACTAACCTCAACTAAGCAAATTCCAGTGAAGAGCTAATGGAAAGCCATCTCACCTGCCTTCTGCGTTCCTGTTGTCCCTTACTAAATTTCTTTTAAACGTGGGGAGTGCTGGGGTGTGGCTAAAATTCTGGTCATTTGTCATTCCTAGGTTTTTTTTTTTTTTTTGAACTAGGGTATTTAAACACACCTCCTGTGAGAACAAAAGTGAACTCTCTGAGAGGTGGGCAGTCAACCCCGCGTCACGTCCCTCTCCGCCAGTGCCAGGGACCCAAGAACAGGGTTAAAGACCTTGACAGGAAAGGTCTATCATTCACCCTACTCCACATTCACAGCCGACACTTACAAGGTACCCGGGCTTGACCAGGCTTAACTTCTGGAAATAGGTCCAGGAGTAAAACAACTGGTGAACATTTCATTAAAACTCCTGTCTTTGGTTCAAACTTGGGATAAAAGATAACTTTAGAAAAACGTTTACAGTTCAAAATATTTAGCACCAGAAAGTTGTACTTTTTAAACTCAGCAGCCTGAAGGCTTAAATTTTTAATATGCACGAGACTTGGAAATGTACAGATAAGAAAAATGGCTAGAAGTCTTTCCTGGTCCACCCAGTGCCACCAAAATGTGACACATCTTACCTGTTCAGCAGTGTAGTGTCAGATAAGACAACAAGTTGTATTTTGGTTTTGCAGGTTTTCTCTGCACTTCTAGGGTCATGTTTCACTAAAGTATTTAGCAGTAAGTTTACAGCACAGTGAGCATAAAAGAGGACACAAACCAAATTTATATTTAAATTAAGTAGCGTGATTTAATTTAGCTGCTGCTTAATCCTGAATCCTCTTAAGTTAAAAAAAACAAAAGTTATAATTAACTATTAAAGTTAATGAATTTAAACCTTCCAGAAAACATGAATCCAAAAGGAAATGTCCAACGGGTGATACAGGCCACATATTTTATGGCCTTTCCTGTTTTAGTCTCAAACACTAAACATCAATGGAAAAAAAAAATTTCTCTAGAGTTTTTCAATTTTATTCTAGAGCACAATTTTCTGGCCCGTTACTGGGTACGGTCTTCTAACAGGTACACAATTAACTCGTAGGTAGACAACACAATGGCAGTATTTGGTATCTGCCGGATGAGCTGGGCAAAGAGTCCTCTGTAAAAGGCAAGGTAACCTTCTTCCCGGAAGACCAGCCGAGCGGTCTGGACAAAAGACTTGTACTTGGTGCCTTCCTCCCGGAGCCGTGTCCTTATGACTTCTGCAGAGAGAAACACACACTTTATGCTACAAACCAACCGCATCGCCAAGCAATACAACGAGAGAATCAAAGCACACGGCTCTGTAACCGTCAATGTCCATCTCTGGGTACTCGCCACCGCAGCTCGACTTGGAGCGCCGACGTCCCTCAGACACAGTAAGAAGCCGCGATCCTTTCAGAACATTTCTTAATTCTGGGGAATGGTCAATTAGGGATATTACATATACAGACAATACTACAAAATAAATTTTAAGGGATTGTAAAAGCTTACTTTGAATGGGACTTCATTTTAAGATTGTTTGTGGTTTTCTATTCCCAATTAAGTGAATGCTGTAATTCCACTAAAGGTGTAATTTGTATTAAGCTTGGCAAATCATCAAAAAGATTCTCTTCTTATGTACTTGCCAACTTCTCCTACTAAAACCCTCCTCCACAGCTCTCTCCAGCTCAAAAGCTGCCTCCTGCGTTTTCAAACGTTTGCACACCTGGCCCCCCGTGACGCAGGTGCCCCGCGGCCCGACACCTGTCACCGCTCAACACGCTGCCGTCTCCCCAGCCCGCGGGGCGCCGCTCAAACTCTCGTCCCTCCGCCCTGGGAGGCCGTTTATCGCCCCGCACGTGACAGGGGCTCAATCACCTGCTTGGGAGCCGCCGCGCCCACCCGTCGCAGCTGGCAGTGCAGCAGGCTTTTGAAAACAAAACCTGTTTTTCTTGGTACAATAAACTAAGCTATTCTTTTTTAAAGTAGGTCAGCGGAACTTTAGGTCTCTGATTCCTTAAAACACAGACTTAGCAAGAGTAGCCTCACTCAGCACCCCTTCAAAGTGGAAGCTGAGATTTTTGGGGGGCAGGGGCGGGCTCCCATACCATTTTTTTAAATTGAGGAATTTTGAATAAATCCAGACTTTTGGCTCCCCTGAAAACACCCGAAGCTCTACAACAAGGGGCCCACACTCTGCACAGTACGTACTGGCCCCAAGTAGCTGGGGCTGAGCAGAGGTGAGTGGCCGCCACTCGCGTCACCTGCAGACAGCAGGAGCCGGTGTCCCACGCGCTCCGTCACCTCAGGACCTGCGCGCGTCTGCGTGAGCGGCAGAGGTCGAGACGTAAGGACAATGACACGGACCTCACAGCTGTTTCCCTGTTCTGGAAGAAAAAGCAAAACATACCATGTGGATAAGCGATGCAGGAAGCGCATCCCTTAGAAATCGCAGCAGCTGCCATAAGTCCAAAGAAACTTGTGGAGTTCTTCTCAGTCCCATTTGTGGAGGTGGCTAGCGGAGCTTCTTTCAGATACTTCTTCAAACTTTCATAAATAGCAAAACAGATGATCGTTTCGGAAATTCCAGCGTACGAGGCCGTTAATCCCCTATAGAAGCCGCGGATGCCTTCGGTCTGGTACACGTGGCGCGCGCACTGCAGCGCGTTCGTCTGCTTGCGGCCTCTCACTCTGTGGAGATCAACGAAAGCCGTTACGAGGCGCACTCAGGAGGGGCCTGCTCCCGTGTCAAGCTGAAGAAACGAGCGCTGAGCATAAAGAGAAATGAGGCGGCAGGTGACATGTGTCTTCCCTGTCCTGTGTTCAGCTGAGCCCGGGGCCACCGGCTGGGACACGGGACGGGCCACAGAACAGAACGTGCATCCGTAGCAGGCGTCGTGGAAACTGGTCGGCAGCCTCTGAGCTGATTTCGGAAGGAGCCGAACGCAGGAAGACAGTCATCAGGGAGGAAAACGTACCTGCCGCACGGCCCGCATCTCTAAAAACAACAGACAAGCAGACCGGGTACCTCGAGCCTCGCGCGGCCGCGGCGGCACGGGGAGCGGAAGCGCACTCGCGGCACAAACACACTTTCCGGAAATGCCGAAGGACAAGCCTCAGCAGCGCCCGGCCGCGCGGCGAGCGCAAGGCCGCTGACACCAGCAAGCCTTCTTAACTCTAGTCTCCAGACGGTGTGTTTTGATTCCACTATTTCTAGATTTATGGAAGAATAAACATCGAATAAACTACACAGTAACTAATACAAGGCTTCAGGCTCGCTGTCCCTGGCTCGTGACGGGAAGGATCCCGAACTGGCCGATGCGGAGGGAACCCCAGGGCCCGACAGCACGCCCACTGGTCCCGTCACAGAGCCCTCCCTCGGGGCTGAAGCCCAGCGCGACCCCAGCTCCAACCCGTCCCGACAGGCTCTCCCTTCTTCACGGTGTCTTTCCAAGTCTCCTTCTCCACACGTGAGCCGCACCGGCCTTTCTACTACAGATCCAACCTAGCCACGGCCCGGCTTGAAAGCCTCTGGTGGAGAGCCTCTCCGTTTGGGCACTACTGACACTTTCCACCAGATGGTTCTCTGCTGTGGAAGCTGTCCTTGCACTGCAACATGTTTGGGATTACCTGGCCTTCACCCGCCAGACGCCAGAAACATCCCACCTAAGTTGTGACAACTGGAAAAGTCTCCAGACATTGTCAAATGTCCCCTGGGGGGAAGAGTGTTCCCCACTCTCACCCAAACCACAGCTCTAATGGCTCTCCATAGCCCTCAGCCCTCAAATTAGAGCCCGAAGCCAAACACCAAGACCCTCCCAGGGTTTTGAAGGATGTATCCCTCCACCCACGCATTTCTGCAGCCTTGGCTTTCTGCGATCCCCCTCCTCCAGCACGCACACACACACAGCACACTCCAACCACGCTTCCCTGCCTTCAGGGCCCCAGAAACGGATGCTGCTTGTGTCTAGATTTTCCACATACTCCGTTCTCGGTCTGAAGCCCGTGCAGCGCACAGCCCCCCGCTCCCATTATTTTTCAGACAGTAGGGTGGACATCTCTGCCACAGGAGGCCCTCTTGTACCCACCCTGCCTGGATGGCATCAGGGACCCTCGGGGGTCCTTAGCAGTTCTGGCCCCTATTTCATCAGCCTACAGTTCTATTTTCTGTGAAGCTGTGAGCTTCTGGAAGGCAGGGCCCATGGCATATTTCCTGCTGTTTCCCCAGTGACTACCACACAGCAAGCATGCGACAAATACGTGTTGTTTCAAGACTGGGTAACAGAGCCCCCCAAACAAAACTTTAAAATGTCCTGAGCATTTGGGTGCCTGGGTGGCTCGGTTGGTTAAGCGTCTGACTCTTGATTTGGGCTCAGGTCATGATCTCTTAGCAGGGAGTCCGCTTGAGGATTCTCTCTCTCTCCCTCTGCCCCTCCCCCCACTCACACACTTTTTCTCTAAAATGAAGAAAGAGGGGCGCCTGGGTGGCTCAGTGGGTTAAAGCCTCTGCCTTCGGCTCAGGTCATGATCCCAGGGCCCTGAGATCGAGCCCCACATCGGGCTCTCTGCTCAGCAGGGAGCCTGTTCCCCCTCTCTCTCTCTGCCTGCCTGCCTACTTGTGATCTGTCTGTCAAATAAATAAAAATAAAATCTTAAAAAAAAAATAAAATAAAGAAATAAAATAAAGAAAGAAAACTTAAAAAAAAAAAAAAGTAAAAAATACTATGTCCTGAGCATGGACCCTTATGAGGTAGATTTAAAAGAGTGCCTGTGCGGGCTCTTCGCTGACTTGCACGCATACCTGCTGCTAAGGAGGAATGATTACCAGGACTGGAATGGGGAGTGATTACCAAAGGTTTCCAGGAGAGGATGCTGGTCAGAAGCCTGAAGGACAAGCAGGTGTTCTTGAGCGACAAGAGGGGCAGAGGGATTCCTGGTGAGGGACAGCACACTCAAGGAAATGGAAGCCTAAGGGCACAGGACAGTTTTAGAAAACTGCAAAGGACCTTGAATGTTAAGCCCAGGAGAGGATTTGTCTGACAGAGTAAGCAAGATTCATCGAAGCATTATGCGCTAGCGATCTGTCCAAAATTATGAGATCTGATGGATTCTAGAAGGTTCTTCCACACAGAACGGATTGGGGGGAAACATGGAATCTGAGACCAAGAGAAAAAACAAAGGGAGACCCGTAGCTACATGTCCGGAGGGGTATTCTTGCTGCTTCTCTCTCTCCTTTACAGGTTGCTAGATTTTGGCTGGATTAGCTGAAAGCCCCCAGTGCCCACCCGCATTTCCAGGCCACACCATTACCCAAGGGTTCTTAGGACTCGATGACAGTGTCCCTTATCACCGTAACGTCTTTGATATTATGGGGGTTATTGGGCCACTGCTTGATCTTGTTATTTACTGTGTTAAACAAGCCTATGACTACATTGCATTTTAAAACAACACTGATAACCGTACTTCAACAACCGGTTTCCACTGCTTTCAAAAATATTACTGTGAAAAGCCACGGCAGAGGCTTCCCCAGACTGCCAAAGGCATCCACAGCATAAAAATGTTCAGAACCAAGGGCCTGAGTTTCAGAGCAGAAATCCAGTACATCTGAGGACCTTGGAGATTAAAATGACCTTTTGCCATTCGACCCTCCCTGGCATCTTCCCACTTAAAAGAGAGGCCATCTGGAGGAGCCCACAGAGCTCCAGTTGCTGGTGGGGTCAGCCAAGACCAGAGACCCACCAACTATCCGAGAGAAGTCAGGAGCAGTCAGGAGGTGGGCAAACTTCCAGCCTCCCCCTGGGTGTTAACTTCTGTTGGCCCTCACCTCCCCACAGTGGCTGGCAGCATGCACCTCAAAACAAAAAGTGTTTCTACATATAGCTTATATTTAGGAGAAAAAAAGGATGGGGATGCTTAAGGGCTCTGTACACCTCATTCCACAACTGGAGCTGGGAGGAAGCAGCAAATCTCCATGATTATTAAGGAAGGAACAATTAACAACTTACTTCCGTTCTAGCTGCATCCGGGTTTTAACCATCCATATAGGATTCATTAAGGTATTTGTGACAAAAGCTGGAAGAAGAAGAAAAAAAAAAGAAACAGAAAATGTCACTACTGAACACAGTCCAGGCTTATTAAAGCTATCTATTTCATATGATAAACTTTGAGATCAGGATTTAAACGGCTTCACAGTAAAAATGGAGAGTAGGAAGCAGTTACAGCTCCAGACTGCAGACGGAAGGTGCAGTCCCCCAAAATGTAACATCTATTGATATGCTGGACCTAAAAGATAGATCTCCATTTTCTAGAGCCCAGTCTAGTCTTTCTAACCTGTAGATGGTGCTGTTGGTATTTCTGTAAATGCAATTCCTATGATAAATATGAAAACTATTCTAAAACTCAATTTCTAAGCTTCAGGTCCAGAAACAATTTGTTTTAAAAAGTTGGTGATCTAATCCAAAAGGTTGCCTTATATCAAACTTAAAACAGAAGCCGGTAAATCTCCGAATTTACCGGAACTTGAACATACGCATCTTAGTAGCTTCACTAATCATAGCAGGAAATGGGAAGTTTTAAAGACTGAGCTGCTCACAGGAACCATTCTTCAAGTTTTCCTTATCTTAATGTTGCTCATTGTTCCAGACCAACCAGAAAGAGCGGTACCGTGGCATCAGCCTGACACACAGTGAGCTCTGAACGCCTCATCCCCTCCGCAGTCCTAAGCAGATTAACTGGGAACCCAGAGAGTGGCTTAGGGACTCCCTCCAGGCCTGCTTTATTTGCCAATGTTTCCTCTAGGTTACTTTTGCAAAAGGCACAAAACCAATGAATGGCTTAGAGCTTACGGCTCACTCGGCTCACTCGCTACGCCCTCACAAGTGAGGGCCGACCTGTTTGTTCCGCCACTCTGCATTTCCTCCTCAGAGCTCTGTGTTTGGCAGAAACTCCTTTCTTGTGTGAAGCAGCTTTGTATATAGATGCCATCTTCTACCTGGGGTCTAGTACTTGTGACCTGTAACTTCTCAGATAGGATAAGAGAACTTTTATCTGGAGTCCTAGAGGCAGACAAAACCTTACAGGCTGGCAGGAGGCAGCAAAGTTCCGAGTGCCTGTTTAAGTTTTCCAGAATACTCTTCTATTTACACGAGACATAAAATGGTACCTAGACAGACAGAGCCTTCTCTCAGCAACCTACAAGTCCATGGTTATTTCCCAAGTATTTCTGGGGGAACAAATCCTGTTATGAATTTTCTATAGTAAGTGGGGTGACTCCTGTACTACCCGATCTGGCACCAGCCCCCCTAAGATCTCCTCCACAGCCCCGAGCCCTCGTCACAGAACCCAGCTGGGGATACAAATGCCAGCTGTCCACAGGGGACGCTGGACACCATGGAGAGTCACACACAAAAAGCTCCATCTTTAAAATAACTTAATGAAACAGAAAGACATGAAAATGCATTAATATTGCTTTAAAGGAAACATAACACTCACCAGCAGTATGCATGAGCACAGGCAAATTTTGAGGGAGAATAAAAGTTTTAATTGTCGAAGAAAATGGACCCGAGTTACAAACTATTCAGAAACATTCATGTTTTTATTAGTTCTGACATAAAGCGTCAGAAAAATGCTTTCAGATGCAGAAGAAGCAGAGAGCTAATTTCTAATTCCTGGAAGAAGCTGTTTGGCAAACACCTGCTTTAGGAGAGCGAGAAACTCCTCTCCACTCGCTGGGGTCACATACCTGCAGAGCCGGCCGAGAGAACGTGCACGAGGCTGCTGTTAGGCACAAAGATGCCACTGAACTGCTCTTTGGCTTTGGAGTAACACGCGAAGTACACGGCCCTGTTTGAAGAGAGAGAGAGTGCTACAGACAGCGGTATGGCCCTATACACGTCCCTCCGCAACCTCTGAAAAATTGAGGAAACTATGAGAAAGGAGGTTAACATGTAACCAAAAGTTTGACCTTGTCTGTAAGACCAAAAGCTACTGCAGGCCCCTGCAGAAAGCTCCTGCCTGTCCCTCAGAACGTGTTCAATGACGGGAGAAGCAGCCACGGTAACTGAGGAGGAGGAGACTTGGGTAATAAAATCCATATATCCGTATATTCTTCTTCATTCCGGGTGTCAATTCTTTAAGCACCAAAATCTATACTGAAACTTTTAAAATTTGTAATACTTCTAAAAGACACCACACCTGCCTTCTACCACAATGACTGTATCATATATAATTTGGCCTTTTTTTTTTTTTTTTTTGATGACTCAGGATCATGAAGGGAACAACCATCACACGCACATTTTCATATCAAGCTTCCACCAGTGAATACGCCTCGGCCTCCCCCACCCCTGCAGCTCCTGTAGGTGGAGTCTAGGCACCCCCCCCCCCCCCCCCCCCCCCCCCCGGCTCTGGTCTGATCTTTGTCTGCTTTCCTTCTTTTGACTTCTTTCTTACTGGGGCTGGGGAGTAGGTGCTGGTTCATACTTTCCCTGCTCCTTCACCAGCAACACCAGGGGAAGTGCCTCTTTATTTTGGCTGGCCAATACATCAATCACAGAATGTATTTTTCAACTTAGGCTCTGGACTATTTGTCATTACTGCCTTATGTAACAGTATTCTGTTTTCTCCGGGTCCCGACTGATCTAAATGGGTGTGGCGGCCAGGAAGCTACATCAGATTCACAGGTGTCACCAAATGAGTACTGTCCACAAGGAGATACAACTCGGTTTTATTTACTATACATATGCAGTACGTCCGCCATCTATTATAATGCGGATCCCATATAATCTCACAGCCTAGTGCTTTTATTTTTAAATAGAGGAAACACATATGCTATAAAATTTTAAAGGATTTACTAAGAATCCGAATTTTTACAACATCCTCAGGTGATTTGCGTATAAACTAGAGCACAAATCTGCAAGAATTCCAGGAAGCTTTTAGTCTTCACCTTATAGAAAACAACATTTTCATTTTTGTTACCAAGATTAATTCTCTTTAAAGTCTATCGGAGTATTACATAAAGTAATGTCAGTATCCTACCCCTGCCACCTAGCTCCCGGGACACAAATTTTGAGAAGCAGCTTCTTATCTACTTTTCAGATATATGCTACACACACACACTCTCACCTGTTCACTTTTATCAAACAGACTTTAAAGAGATACAGAAATAAGGATGTTTTAAATAAAGTAAAGCCCAGAAACCTTTAAAATTGCTTCAGATCAGTGCTACCGAGTGCATATGAATCACCTGCGGATCTTGCTGGAATGCGGGTTCTGATGTAGGTCTGGGGTACGGTCCAACAGAGTGCAATTCTAACAAGCCCCGGGCGATGCCAATACTGCTGGCCACTGCTGCTATTTGAAACAGCAGGTGACTGTTTAGAAAAAGATTCCAGGAGATGCGAGTAGACGAATTTTTACTGAAGAATAAAATAACTAGACTCTCTCTCTCACACACACACACCAAAAGACGCACCAGCAGTTTTCACTAGTCCGTATGTCAAATGCATCTACACAAACGCCACAGAGAAAAGAAACCGGCCATCTAGCCGTACTGCACTTCAGTACAAAAGGAGTATTCTATATTCCACGCAGCGAGCCAGCTGAATGTTTAATGCTTACCTTGATGGCGCAACTCCAACCAAATTTGGACCCAAGCCTCTAAAAAGTGACTTTGGTCCCTCCTTCTCCAAGATTGACCTGAATAATAAGAGAAGATCTTTAAATTCCTTAGGCAGGGCCTATGCAAAACAGCAAGGCATCAGCCTTCACATCAGCTCTGTAAATACAGAACAGAATGTTTCCAGGACCCCAGACTCTTATCTGATTCTATTATATTACAGTACAGCATCAGAAGGCTGAAGCATACTGCTTTCATTACAATGAAAAAGCACGCTTCTAAAGCACCAGTTTGGGGCGCTTGGGTGGCTCAGTGGGTTGGGCCTCTGCCTTCGGCTCAGGTCATGATTTCAGGGTCCTGGGATCGAGCCCCTCATCAGGCTCTCTGCTCTGCAGGGAGTTGCTTCCCCCCACCACCCTGCCTGCCTCTCTGCCTACTTGTGATCTCTGTCTGTCAAATAAATGAATAAAATCTTTAAAAAAAGAAAAAAGCACCAGTTTGACCTGTTTGCAAGAAGCCTTTTCCCTGGTTCACGAAGGACCTAGATGTTCGGGGTCTGCACCACATGCTAAAATCTCAGTGAGGCAGGACGAGCATGTGGCAAAAGCAGCTGGTCCAGAGAATCACGTCTTCATGGTAACAAAATTCACTGAGAAACAGGTTCTGAGATGTATTTGGATCATATTTCTTTTGGATTTACTCCTTATTTCTTTTCTTTTTTTTTTTTTTTAAGATTTTATTTATTTATTTGGCAGACAGAGATCAGAAGCAGGCAGAGAGGCAGGCAGAGAGAGAGAGGAGGAAGCAGGCTCCCCGCTGAGCAGAGAGCCCGATGCGATGCGGGGCTCTCCTGGGATCATGACCTGAGCCGAAGGCAGAGGCCTTAACCCACTGAACCACCCAGGCACCCCACTCCTTATTTCTAATAGTCCTATCTTCCAGATCTTTACTTAGTGTAGAAGGGCCCCAATCAGGGATCCACAGAATAGAAAGACCAAATGATTTTTAAGGGCTGGATGAATGTTTTTTTTTTTTAAAGATTTTATTTATTTATTTGTTAGAGAGAGAGAGAGAGAGCATGAGCACAGGCAGACAGAGTGGTAGGCAGAGGCAGAGGGAGAAGCAGGCTCCCCGCTGAGCAAGGAGCCCGATGTGGGACTCGATCCCAGGACGCTGGGATCATGACCTGAGCCGAAGGCAGCCGCTTAACCAACTGAGCCACCCAGGTGTCCCTGGATGAATGTTTTTTAAAGCCATAACACAGTATCTCAAGTTCAAAGAGAAGACTGCTTCTTTTTAATTTCTAAAAATCATGGTAACAGAGATGCCTGCGTGGCTCAGTCAGTTAAGTGTCTCTCCCTTCAGCTCAGATCGTGATCCCAGGGTCCTGGGATCGAGTCCCAGGTAACATACACATACAAATTTACCATTTTAAAGTGCACAGTTCAGTGACATTAAGTAGTTCCACAATGTTGTGCCACCATCACCATTCATCTCCTAAACTTCTTCATCTCCTTGAATTGCAATCATACCCATTAAATACGGACTCCCTATTACTCTCCCCACTCCCCCAACCCTTGGCAACCACATTCTGCTTTCTGTCTCTATGAATTAGACTGCTTTAGGGACCTCAGAGGAGTGGAATTATTCAGTATTTGTCCATTGTGGCTGGTTTATTTTACTCAGTGTAGTGTCATTAACGTTCATATATGTTGCAGAATATGCCAGAATTTCCTTCTTTCTTTAAGGCTGAGTAATACCCCATTGTACATGGGCCACATGCTGTTTATCCATTTATCTGTTGGTAGATACTCGAGTTGCTTCCACTCTTGGCTACTGTGATTAATGCTGCTGTGAACATGAGTGTCCAAGTATCTGTTCAGGTCCTCAGTTTAAATTCTTAGGGGTACATGTCCAGAAGGGGAACTGCTGGATCATGCAGTAATTTTTATGTATAATTTTTTGAGAATCTGCCATGCTATCTATCACAGCAGCTGTACCATTTTACATTCCCACCGACAATGGACAAGGGTTCCATTTTTTCCACACCCCTGCCAATGTGCTTTAAAAAAAAGTGTTAATATGTTTTTTCATTGAAAGTGACTGGGGGCAGGGAGATGCGTGGGTAGCTCAGTCAGTTAAACGTCTGCCTTTAGCTCAGGTCATGATCCCAGCATCCTGGGATTGAGCCCCCCATCAGGCTCCCTACTCAGCAGAGAATCTGCTTCTCCCTCTCCCTCCGCCTGCTCCCTCTTCCAGAGTGAATGAGTGAGTGAGTGAGTGTGTGTGTGTGCGCGCACGCATGCACGCAGAGGTGCTTACTCTCTGTCAAATAAATAAATAAAATCTTCAAAAAAAAAAAAAAAAGGGTGGGGCATGTGGGTGGCTCAGTGCATTGGGCCTCTCTGCCTTTGGCTCGTGTCATGATCCCAGGGTCCTGAGATGGAGCCCCGAATCTGGCTCTGCTCGGTGGGTTAAAGCCTCTGCCTTTGGTTCAGGTCGTGATCCCAGGGTCCTGGGATTGAGCCCCGCATTGGGCTTTCTTGTGATTTCTCTCTGTCAAATAAAAAAAATTTTTTTTAAAGATTTTTATTTATTTATTTGACAGAGATGACAAGTAGGCAGAGAGGCAGGCAGAGAGAGAGCGGGAAGCAGGCTCTGCGCTGAGCAGAGAGCCCGATGCGGGGCTCGATCCCAGGACCCTGGGATCACGACCTGAGCCGAAGGCAGGGGCTTTAACCCACTGAGCCACCCAGGCGCCCCAGTTTATTACTTTTTAAAAGAATAGCTTTATTGTGTTGTTATTCACATACCATAAAATTTACCCTTTTAAAGTGCACAATTTAAAATTTTAAAGTGCAGTGGGTTTTAGTATAGTCGCAGAATTATGTAACCACAACCACTATCTAGTCCTAGAACATTTTCAGCACCCCAAGGAGACATGTACCCATCCATAGTCATTCCCAGTTCCCCCTCCCCAACCCTGGCAACTGCTGAACTACTCCATCTCCCCGTGGTTAGGAATGTTCTTCTCCTTGACGCTGTTGTAAATGGAATCAGTTTTTATCTTTGTATTCAGATTGTTCATTGCTGCTATGTAGAAATACAGTCGATATTTGTGTATCAATCTTGTTCACTGCAACCTGCTGAACTTGTTTTTTCGTTTCAGTGCGTTCCTTAGTATTTCTGTGTATGAGAGTGTGTTGTCTGAGTAAAGAGAGTTTTGCTGGGGCGCCTGGGTGGCTCAGTCAGTTCAGCCTCCCACTCTTGATTTCAGTTCCTGTCTTGATCTCAGGGTTATGAGTTCAAATACCTTTTATTTCTTTTCTCTTATCTAATTGCTAGCCTGCCATTTTTGAGCATAGCTCTTACAGGTACAAATATTCTTTCATTTTCAGGCAATTCAGGTATTTTATAAACATCCACAAATTTGAAGAAGAGAAGCTAAGATTCACATTTTTTAGTTTGTACAGTCAGGGACTCTAGACCATGAAAAATTACACTGACTTGAAAAAAGGAAAGAACAGGAAAGAAAACTATGAATGGATAAAAGCTGAACATTATCCAGCATGCCAGGGACCAAAACATCACCTTAAACTCTTCTGCACCAAAAATTTCAGCTTTGTTTCTAGAAACTTTTCCTCTATGGGAAAAGTGGAAGGTGGTAGAAATAAAATTGGCAAGGATTCACTTTACCAGTAACTTTTCTGCAAAGTGGAAAACAACGTTTTATTTTACCTTCAGTGTCATAATGAAGGTAAATATTGTATAAATAAATTCTTCTGACAACAATACAATTATTAGTGAGCTAGATAAACTTAGAATGCTGTCAGATTGGACGGACTAATTACCAGGTGCAGAAAAATCTGCAGTAAGAGAAGGAAATGAAATTAGAGGGGACCTCAGTGTAATGTAAATTCCTTGGATACCATGAAAATTAAGCCATTGAAAAGAATAAATTTAACCAACTTGAAGAGTCATTACGTTGGAGCGGGAAAATAACTCTAAAGAATGTTCTACACAGTCCTTCCTTAGTCACCTTTTTATTTTTTTTAAGATTTTATTTATTTAGGGTCACCTGGGTGGCTCAGTGGGTTAAAGCCTCTGCCCTCAGCTCAGGTCATGATCTCAGGGTCCTGGGATCGAGTCCCGCATCGGGCTCTCTGTTCAGCAATGAGCCTGCTTCCCTTCCTCTCTCTGCCTGCCTCTCTGCCTACTTGTGATCTCTGTCAAATAAATAAATAAAATCTTAAAAAAAAAAGTAATATAAAAAGTAATGAACTGCACCCTAGTTCCATCTGAATATTACAAAATATTAGGGAGACAATGGTCTTCTTTTCTCTTTCTCTTTTTATTTATTTATTTTTAAAGATTTTATTATTTATTTGACAGAGAGAGAGATCACAAGTAGGCAGAGAGGCAGGCAGAGAGAGAGAGGGGAGGAAGCAGGCTCCCTGCGGAGCAGAGCGCCCGACGCGGGGCTCAATCCCAGGACCCTGGGATCACGACCCGAGCTGAAGGCAGAGGCTTCAACCCACTGAGCCACCCAGGCGCCCCTCTCTTTCTCTTTAAAAAAAAAAAAAAGATTTTATTTATTTACTTGGCAGAGAGAAAGCGAGAGAGGGAACATAAGCAGGGGGAGTGGGAGAGGGAGAAGTGGGCTTCCTGCTAAGCCCCAATGAGGGGCTCGATCCCAGGACCCTGAGATCATGACCTGAGCCTAAGGAAGACGCTTAATGACAGCCACCCTGGCGCCCTCTCTCTTTTTTTTAAACAATGGTCTTATTTTCTAATCATCCAGTGTTTTCCCTACTGGCAGTTATCATTCCAGGCCCTTTCCAGTGATCCCATGACGCACTGTTGTTTGGGTTACCCAGCCTGAACTCTCCGGCCCACCCCTGAGCATCACATGAAGGGCCTCTGTCTGAGATATCACACAATTAGAGAACACATCTACTGTAAGTAGAGTGTACCTTTTTCTTTTTTTTTTTTCTGTCATGGCATCTGGGGAATGTAAAAGCAAGGCATTTAAAATGAGACGTAGCTACGCAATGTAACATTACTTGGCAATAAAAAGGAA